AGCTCTGAATTTCTTTCTTCTACTTGTTCAATTCTATTGCTGAGACTTTCCAGAGCATTTCACATTTCTAAAAGTGTGCCCAAAGTTTCCTGAATTTTTTATGTTTTTTTTCTTTAAGCTACCTATTTCCTCGAATATTTCTTCCTTCACTTCTTGTATCATTTTTTGGATTTCCTACTTCACCTTTCTCTGGTGCCTCCCTGATTACCTTAATAACTAACCTTCTGAATTCTTTTTCAGGTAAATCAGGGATTTCTTCTTGATTTGAATCCATTGCTGGTGAACTAGCAGGATTTTTGGGGGGTGTTAAAGAGCCCTGTTTTGTCATATTACCAGGGTTGGTTTTCTGGTTCCTTCTCATTTGGGTAGGCTCTGTCAGAAGGGAAGGTTTAGGGCTGAAGGCTGTTGTTCAGATTCTTTTTGTCCCATGGGGTATTCCCTTGTTGTAGTACTCTCCCCCCTTTCCTATGGGTGTGGCTTCCTGTGAGCCAAACTGCTGTGATTGTTGTCTCTCTTCTGGGTCTAGCCACCCAGTGAATCTACCCGACTCCAGGCTGGTACTGGGGATTGTCTGCACAGAGTCCTGTGATGTGAACTGTCTATGGGTCTATCAGCCATGGATACCAGCACCTGTTCCAGTGGAGGTGGTGGGCGGGGCGGGGGGGGGGTCAGTGCAATGAGTTCTATGAAAGTTCTTAGCTTTGGTAGTTTAATGCTCTATTTTTGTGCTGGTTGGCCTCCTGCTGGGAGGTGGCACTTTCCAGAGAGCATCAGCTGTCATAGTATGGAGAGGAAATGGTGCTGGGCGGGGCCCTAGAACTCCCAAGATTACATGTCCCTTTGTCTTCAGCTACCACGGTGGGTAGGGAAGGACCATCAGGTGGGGGCAGGGCTAGGCAAATCTGAGCCCAGACTCTCCTTGGACGGGTCTTGCTGTGGCTGCTGTGGGGGATGGGGGTGAGATTCCCATGTCACTGGAGTTGTGTACGTAGGAGGATTATAGCTGCCTCTGCTGAGTCATGCAGGTTGTCAGGGAAGTGGAGGAAAGCTGGCAACCACAGGCCTCACCAAGGTCCCATACAAACTGAAGGGCCAGTCTCACTCCCACCATGCACCCCGCAACAGTCCTGAGTCTGCTTCCAGGCGGTGAGTGAGACGGGCTTGAAAACATGCCCCAGGCTACCCACCTCCCAGCTGCAAAATAAAAGGGATTGATTCTTCTCCCGCCTGTGGAGTCTGCACACTGGATTTGCGCCCTCCCCTGATTTCTGGCCAAGAGGCTTCTTGCCCCATTCAAATTGTTATGAAGTTCAGCTGGAGATTTCTTTCTCTCTGGAGTTTTACCCCATGCTCCTCTGGCCACCCTCCCAGTGGATCCCTGTGATGCCAGGTAGGAATGGGCTGTCTGGGGATCCAGCGAGCTCCCTAGGGCCTTTCTGCTGCTTCCTCTACCCCTGTATTTTGCTTGGCTCCCTAAATTGACTCAGCTCCAGGTAAGGTAGGAAACTTCTCCCACAAACAGACCTTCAGTTTCTCCAGTGGGTATATGTGTTCAGGAGAAGAGGGTCTCCCTTTCCCACTTTTGTAGTTGGGGCACTCACAGTATTTGGGGTGTCTCCTGGGTCCTGCAGGAGCAGTCTGCTTCCTTCAGAGGGTATGTGGGTCCTCTTGAGATTGCTGGTTTGTTCTTCCAGTCAATCTGAATCTTAAATTTGCAAGCCACCGCACGCTGCTCTGTCTGGAGCTGCAATCTAGTCCTGCCTCCCATCCACCATGATAATCCCTCCCTCACTGGCTTCTTTTTAGTAACATGTCATGGTGCTGATCATGCATCAAATGGCACCAGCACCTGTTTTCTTCCTGTCTGTGTTCCTCATATATACACTTTTATCATTAAGTAGATGTAAGAATCCATTTAAAATAGATTTAGCTTTGGGGAGAAATTCTGTGTTGATTCCGCCCACACAAAGGTGCATGTACCCACACAAACAGTTCCTTCTAGAAATGCAAAAACAATATAGCAATGACACTAATGATCAAGATATTTTATAAAGGAAATCACCCAAATCCCATCACCAGAACACAGCTCTTTTTATTTACGCATTTACTATGAGTTTTTGTAAGTTGCAAGATCACAGTGTAAATACAATGGAGCCTCTTCCTTTTCAAAACCTGTTGCATGTATTCCTCAGACCGCTGCAGGTTTCAGAATGAGCATATTAAATGTTCTCATAATATGCCATGGAATGGATATGCCATAATTTAATTTGCCACCCATTATTGTTGGGCAATTCATTTGTTCCCAGTGTTATATTACTACAGCCAATCTCATAACAAACATCTTCATGCATGTATCTTCTCAATTCTGTTGAACTGCTTCCTGAGGAATAAAATCTCAGGAAGAAGAATTATTGAGTTAAAGGTCAGGAACAGTCCTAGGACTCTTGCTTCAGTTGACTGGGTTGCCTTCCACAAGTGTGGGTCCCTTTCTAAAACGTGCATACCCTCGGCACTAGCCAGCTTTCCCCTTTAGCCACCCAAACCTGTCCCACTCACTCTTGGTGTCTTAGTTACTGCCTGTTGTGTGGGGATCAACTTCTATTTGCTCTCTGGGTGCTCTGCACCATGGTTTCAAAACAATGTAAACCTGTTTTGGGAAACACACTCAGCCGATGTGGAATAGCCTCTCAGCTCCAACAGCTGAGAGTCCACAGTAATTATCTTTGGGGGATGCCAGGCTTGGCAAGTAAGGAGCAGATGCGTTTGTTTCTCAAAGCCCACATTGCAGAGAACTTTCCCCCACACCCTTAACAAGTGAACCACAGTGCTCTGACGCAAGCAGCCTTATGCTGACTACCAGCTCCCCTCAACACCCACTATGTGGCAGGCCCTACTACAAATCAGATATGGCTCTTGCCCTCAAAGAGCCCACAAACTCTGGTAAAGACAAACAAACAAACAACTAACAGAGATGCAATGTGGTGTCATGAGCAAGTGCGTTGCAACTAGTCTGACCTGGATTGGGACTTCAATCTTGCCATCTTCTTGCTGTGTGGACTTCAGCAAGTGTGTGTGTGCGTGTATGGTCTTGGTTTCATTCTCTACAATTAGGAATAATGGAATAATATTAATACCAGCTTCCCTCCAGTTGAACCCTGGTATTCTTGCCTGGGGGATCAGGAAATGCTTTTCTGTCCCCCACCCCCACCCCCACCCTAGGGAGAATGTGCTGAAAGGCTCCAAAGGTCATGGGGATTGGGTCTCTCTCACCAGTCCCAGGACAGGAAGGCCTATTGGTTTACTGCAGTGAGCAGCCCTGAAGTGGCTGGAGAGTACAGAACCTCAGTGACTTGGGGCTGCCTGCAAAACCATTCGCAAAAGTTCCACTGTCTCTGCCTACATTATTTCTACCAGGAGGGGAAAGTAACGTGGCTCAGTTGACTATTCTTTCCCAAGTGCTAAACTGGCTTCCTTGATTAGAAAAACACAGCCTTAGGCTGATGGCCTTGCCAGCAATCAGTGCTAATGCAAGACCCAGCTGAGGAATACAGCAGACTAGGCTCCATGCCCAGTGCCACGAAGACTTCTGCCTTGTCCAGGACATGGTCCAGAGATAGAAAATGCTGATTTTCTAGCAGAGCTACTAAGAGTCAACATTTACAAGTGCCAGCAATGGCTTTCGTGCAATGAAAGGCACAAGAGTGGGGCAGCTCTCTTCTTGTCACACCCCAGAGTCCCTGGGTAAACTTTCCCAGAGGAACTGTCAAATGACAATGGCCATGAATGGACATGTCCAGCAGTACAGACAGCCACATGGGTCACAGAAGTACCCATCACTACTGTAGTTAGCACACTCTGCCCATCAAGAGTTGTACTCTTTCTGGGAACAATCTGCTGTCTTACCATGGCTAGGAATCTACTGTCCACATCTAAAATAGGTGCACTTTCCATTCAATTTATCCATTTCTTATTACACCCCTGTGGAAAAAGCATTTCATATGGCCAGCAGTCCAGACAATGCATTTTGGGAAATACAGAACTCTTCCAATCCCCTTATTTTTTAGATAAGGAGATTGAAGCCCAGAGAAGGAAAGGAATTTGCCTGAGCTCACCCAAGAGGTCTGAGGCAGGGTAACAATAATTCAGCTGTAGCACTTTCAGAAGGGATGTCTCTAATCTGTTTTTCAGATTGGGAAGCCATTAGAGGGTTTCAGCAGTGGGGATAATGCAATTGAATTAGCATTTTAGGTAAATCGCTTCAGCTGATGTGTGGAGGAGACTCTAGAGGGATGACAGTGAGGAGACAATGAAGAGTAATCCAGGTGAGAGACAATAAAGACCTAAATTTGTGCAGTAGCAGGAGGGTAGATGAGGTAAAGATACATTCCAGAAATAATTAGGAGGTAAACCGGCAGGACCTGATGGCAGATTAGGTGGGGGAGTGGAAGGAGTTAAGGGTGATGCTGAGAAATCTGGTCTGGGTGACTGGGTAGATGCCAGTGCCATGCAGTGGAGAAGCTGTTTGGATGGAGTTAAGTAGGTTGAAGACTTCCATTTCAGTGGCTGTGGAACGACCAGTGTAGATATCCAAGTAGCATTTGGCTTTATGCGGGGAAGGTTTTGCTAAGAGACCAAGATCAGGGAGATAACTGCATATTGATGAAAGTTAAAGCACAAGAATGAGAGAAATAGTCCAGGGAGAACCTGTAGAGGAAGTAGAAGCAATAGACCAAGGCTCAGAAACTCGGAGAACTCAGTTCTGGCCTCCAAGGAACTCACTATCTAAACCTTATTCTTCCTCCAGAGTTCCCCTCAAAGCACCTCCTCCAGGAAAGGAATGCTGCCCTAAGAGATGTACGAGGTGTTGGGTCAATTTGGAGGACAGAAAATTCATATGTGATGGCATAATTAAATGTCTTCTGTTAGCACACCGGATTTTTTTTTTTTTTTCACTGCTTCAATGGTCGTTTTTTATTAAAAGAAAAACAATTCAAAATATATAAGAAATTAGACTTTTATCAATACACAAATAATTTTACTTAAAATCAACCCAGTTACATATTTTTTAAAAATTGCAGAACCTCTGCACACCAATGTCCACAACCTAGAATAGGTTCATGTGAAACCTGCAGTCCTACCCCGGAGCATCAATAAGTGATGGTCCAGGTACTCACTGACATGTTTCTCTTGACACCGAGATGGTTGCAAACAAAACACCATTCTTCCCTGGATGAAGCAAGAGTTCACATAAAAGAGCTTTATAAAATGTCTATGAAGGAGAATTGGTAATATCAGAAGAGCTCCAGCACTTTAATTGAATATAATCCTCTATTATTCTTTTCTTGATTTAATTTCTGTAGCTCCTGAAAACTTACTTCAATCTTGTTGAGCTCGGAATAAACAGATATCTGAGATTTTACAAGCTTGTAAAGATTTATCAGTAGCCTCTTTGCTTCTGGCATCATTACTATAACAGTAAAATTTGCATCCAGAAGTAGACATATCCAATCCATAATCTGGTTCTAGGTAGGTGGGTATATTCCAGGAAGAGTCATAGTAGCATTTTTGCTACACTTCAGATAAAGGAAATACAAATACTTGAGAAACAGCGTGGTATGCTGTGCTGGGATGTTTTTCAAATGAGGCAGAAGAAATGTTTCACTATATGCTGAATGAAGAATTGCATTAAGTAGAGCTGCTCCTTTTGGTATCACAGGGCATGAAGTGGTCTCCTTTGTTTTGTCCTGGGGCTTTTTATTTAACTCTCGATCACAGTTATTGCATTTATCTTCTTCAGGATTGAAGCCATTTTGAAGAATTTCAGTTTGCTCTTCCATTTTCTCATCATGTACAGATTTACTATAGTCAAAAACTGACTCCATACTGACATCTGTTTCTTGAAGACTGTCATCACCAATGCTCAAGAAAATTTTTAAGCAAGCACAGGTGACTGATTCAGGAATGTCAGGGAACTGCTGTAGACAGAGTTGTAACACCTGTACATCTTTCTTTTTTAAGGCAATCTCCATTAAGTCAGGGCACAAACTGTAAGAAAGCACATGCGTTTGGATAAGCTGCATCAGACAGTTCCGGGGATAAAATGATCGTTCTGCTTTACACCTTTCCAGAAGTCCTGTTACTGTGTCCCCAACGACAGTATGAAAGTCAGGTGTCTGCTTCAGAGCCAAAAATTTCCATACTTCTACTTCAATGTGCTTTTCTGAATCTTTCATTATGGTTGACAAAAGTTGTTTGGATGGTGATACCTCTGGCTATAAACTCACTTCAATTTTTCATCTCCTTAAAATTCTTCTTAACTGCTCTGAGTTCTGGGACCCAAGTCCACATCCTTGAGGTGTTTCCCAGTTTACAAAAATGGGGCACAACATGAGTTCCTGGATCTTGACTATGCTTGAGTTTTCCAAGAGCACCTGCTAATGATGACACTTCACAGTTGTATGGAATCACAGCTAGAGATTTTCCATGTAGCATAAACAAATTTTCCCCATAATACCAGAGTTGACCACTGGTCCCTTGTGGTAACTCTTTTGAAGTCTGTAGTGTTTGAAATTTTATGTTCCATACAGAGAGGCATTCCTTAAAAGCTGCTAGTGGACTTCCTAGGACTGTGACGTGATCCTGATCCAGGGCAGTGAGTGCAACTCCATTTGGAGCATTACCAGACACAACAGCCTTGAGCAACAGTGATCTAACTAAGCTCTGATTTTTTTCTGGGTCAGTTGGACGTATTGGTATCAAGGTTTCATATATACAACCATCAGAGCTTAATGACATCAAAGAGATGAATTTTTGATCTACTGATGCAGTAAAACTCTCTATAAAAGAGTTTTTGTCTTGTCCAAGTAAGAGTGTATATTTGGTTAAGATATGTGAGTTAAACATTTGCACCTAAGCAATGTAATTTCCATGTTTTTCAGTAATAAACATTAAAACAGGAAGTCTGAATACTATGAAAAACTTTATCTATTTAATCACTTCATGAGAGATAACAGTTTCAATTTTCTGCTGGGGGTCTGCAAGCAAGGCCTCTAAACCATAAATAACACCTTCCTTGAAGAGCACCAAGGGTTCTGACCCTTGCACTGAAAGTATCCTATATACTTCAGCTGACAATGTAGCTTTAAATACTTTATCCCTGTTTACATCTTCATTATTCCATATTCTTAAAACTTTACTATTGTGTACAACAATATACTCTCCAGTTTGAAGGTTGCACACAACTGGACATGTTATAATTTGACCCTGTTTCACTGACCAGCTCCCCAAGGGTTTCTATTCAGAAACCTTATAGAGGATCACGATTCTGCCACTTTCTGTCACTAGAAACTGGTCTATTTTGTCACTCTGCTTCATGCCTAGGAGTCCTTCAGGTCCCGCACTCAGGACTACCAAAGACAATGTGAATTCTTCCTCCAGCACTGCCATTTTGAGCAAACCTAGCACACCTGATTCTAAAGAGGTGCTGAGAAAACTTGTAGGAAGATGCAGTTTTCCTCAGATGGATGTGTATGTTTGTCCCTTTCACCTTGGAGTCTAGTTATGTGTACATGTCTTATCCCCTCAGTAGGCAGTGTACTTGCTCCTGAGAGAAAGGAGTCCTAAATTCTCAGAAGTCCCCATGGAACCTGAAGAGTACCTGGCATGTAGTACTCAATACAAATTTGCTGAACACATGAATGAGGGTGAAGGTGGGGAAGGGTCTCAGGCCAAATAAATAGTATGAGCAATATCCCACAAGTAGGGAACTACGGGAAATGCAGAATGATTGAGTGTGGCCCATGCATAGACTACATGAGTGATGGAGAAAGAGGAAACATAGGAGACTGGCAAGATGGACTGGGACCAGGTGTTGTGGCCTTGAACACCAAACTGTAGGATCTGATTACCTTCAAGTGCTATAGAAAGCTGGACAGATGCTGTAACTGTGGTGGGTCTGAGCAGAGGTGAGCTGTCCCTCAGAGGCTCTTTTTTGCTTCCCTTACCTCCTGTCAGGGAAGCAGTGATGAGGGCTCTGTCAGCTCCTCCTGGCTTTCTCTTGCTGGATGCTGCCTGCAGTGCCCAAAAAAGTCACCATAAGCAAAGTTACTGTAATTTGCGGGAGCCAACCTCCCATTCCATTTCATTTTTTCAGTATCCAAGAGGAAAAGAGGTAGGTCTAAAGCCTGAGGTACCATGGACTCTCAGGAAAGCTATGAGAAGGGAGTCCACAACCCTGCCTCATTAGTTCATATACAAAGGTGTAAGTTTGTCACTTCACTTCCTCTTGTGGCTTCTGAATGCTGGGGCTCAAGTCAGATATTCTCAGCATTCATTGCCCTGGAGATGGTCTTTTTTAATATCACAGGCACCTGTGACCTTCCACTACTGCATGTCCAAATTCTCTCTAGTCTGAAAAATTTAGTGACAATGTTTCCTCTTGCAGGAAGCAGAGCCCTTCAGCTCAAAGTGACTGTTTCCTCAGAATGTCTGTATTACTGCAGCTGTAGTCCTCAACCTTATTGCCTGGATACACATTTTATATCCTGCCCTTTTCCCACACAAAAATAGTTCAGGTCCGTAGTAGGGGGTATGATGGAATTATCTGGAGACAGGATGTTAGAGTGGACAGACCATGCACACTACAATCAGGCAAACCTAGATATCAACACCAGCTCTACCACTTCCTGGCTTCATTACCTTAGACAAGTTCCTTAACCCTCTAAGAGACTCAGTTTTCTTATCTGTATATGGCAGAATAAAATAGGATGCTGACACAGTTGTTGAAATTATTAGATGAGAAAAAAGCAAAGCATCAGTAATAATACCTGGCAGGTTTTTGGCACTCAAAAATAATTCATTCCTCTCCTTTGCCTTCAATATTCTTCACAGGGCCTAGTATACAGTTTTCATTCATTGATCCAGCCAGTTATCAATTAAAACATTACTGGGGAAAGATAGTATGTACATTGACATAAAAATTAAATACTTAGGAATAAATCTAATGAAGAGATCTATTCAAATGGAAAGATTTACAATGTTCACGAATAGGAAGAGTCACTATTATAAAGATGTCAGTAGTTTCCACACTGATTTATTAATTCAATGCCATATCCTGAGAGTTGTGTGTGTATGTGTGCAACTTAACAAGCTGCTTCTAAAATATATATGTAAAAAGTCAAGAATAGTTAAAGTATCCTTGAAGGAAGAAAAAGGGGGGAAACTTGCTCTACTACGTATCAAGATTTATTATAAAGCTATAGTAATTATGACAGTGTAGTATTGTCTCAGAGACAGACAAATAGAACAAGGAAACAGAATGTAAAGTCCAGAGACAGATGTACACATACATTGAGACTTGATGTGTGACAAAGGAAATATTTAAGTATGGATTTTAGTTAATAACAATGTATTAATACTAGTTTATTGATTGTGAGAAATATGACATACTTATGTAAGATGATAATAATAGGTAAAACTGGGTACAGGGTTTATTATAACTCCTTGTACTATCTTTACAACTTTTCCATAAATCTAAACCTATTCTAAAATACTTTTTAAAACTTATTTTAAAACAAGTAAAAAAATCAATTCCAAGAGGATTAAAGAAAACTAAATGTATAAGGCAAATTATAAGAAAGATTATATAAGAGAATGTATGAATAATTTGGGGGTAGGAAACACTTCCCTGCATAAGATTTTAAGAAAAGAATCACAAATGAAAAATAGACTTGACTACATTTAAATTAAAAATTTTTATTAATAATATAATATGATTAAGAAGGGGAAAAAAACAAGCTACAGATTCTACTTCCAGCAATAGACAAGTAAGCTCCTATCGACCCTATCCTACTACAGATTAAAACTATGAACTCTGGAGAAAAACAAAACAAAATATAAATACACTACTTGAAGGCAGTGTGGAGAGATCAAAAGCAGGCAGATAGTGGAGGGGGGTCAACACTTAGAAGAAGAAAATGGCACTGGGTCAGTTTCCCATTACTTTTCTGGTGTTTAGCTTGAGGACAGGACCCAGTCTGTACCATGCAGAGCAACTTAAACTGTGATGGGAAAGCTGTAGTCTTTCTGTATTGAAGAACTAGAGTACAGAGTTCATAGCAAACACAACTACTGAGAAGTAAGGAGGAAGTCCTCCAAAATGAGAAAGCCAGAAAGAAAGAGCTTCGAATCCTACGTATAAACTACATCCAACTCTCTGCTGACCCCAAACCATGCATGTGTGTGACAGACTCTAAGGAGAAGACCTAAGACTAAAAAAACTGAATTGTTATTTAAGCTGTTACCCATTGCAGAAGAGAAATAACTTGCAATTTGAGTCCAGCCAGTCTAGTTGCCGGCTAACACAAACAAAACAAAACGAAACATAAGCAAAATCAATATAACAAAACAAAAATCAACACTCTTCAAACGAAAAGAGCAAAACCAGGGTCCCCACACATACAAAGAACCAGAAAAGCATGAGGAAAACTCAAGAGAAAAGGCAATCAACTAAAAGTAGCCCTAAAATGATTCAAATGTTGGAATTAGCAGACAAGGATTTTTAAAGCAGCTATTATAGATATGCTGAAGGGCATAAAGGAAAATATGCTTATAATGAATGAAAAGTCAGAAAATATCAGAAAAGAAATGTAAAAATTATAATAAAGAACCAAGTGGAAATTCTAGAGCTGAAACATATAATATCTGAATTAAAAATTCACTGGATAGGCTTGACAACAAAATAGAAATGACAGAAGAGTCAGAAAACATGAAGATCAATAGAAATTATTCATTCTGAAGAACAAAGAAGAAAAAATGAAGAGAAAATAACAGAGGCTCAGGAACCTATAGAACATTATAAAAATATCTAAAACATATGTAGTTAGAGTCACAGAAGGAAAAGAGAGAAAATAAACTAGAAAAATTGTATTTGAAAAAAATGACAGAAGTAAATTCTCCCAATTTGATGAAAGACATAAACTCACAGATTTAAAGAAATTCAGCGAGTCCCAAGTAAAATGAATACAAAGTAAATCACAGCTAGACACATCACAGACAAACTACTAAAAAACAAAGATAATGTCTTAAAGAAGCTAGAGGAAAGTAAGATTCAGAGGAACCACAATTCAAATAACTGCTTATGACATATGACATACAATGAGGGTCCAAAGACCATGGACCAACATCTTTAAAGCACTGAAAGAAAACTGTCAAGAATTATATATCTAGCAAAAACCAAGAATAAAGGTTAAATGAAGGCATTTTACATAAAAGATAACCCAGAGAATTAATAGCCATCAGATGTGCATTACAAAAAATGTTGAACAAAGTTCTTCAGGCTGAAGGGAAGTGATACCAGATGGAAGTTTGGATCTACAGGAAGAAATGAAAGCATTGGAAATGGGTAGATAAAAAACACTACTTTTGTTCTTAATCTATGTAAAATACATATTACTGTTCAAAGTGAAAATTGTAGCATCATATGGTGGAATGTAAAATGTCAGTAAGTTGTAATACATAAACATGATACATAAAGCATAAAATTGGGAGGAATATAGTTGCAAGGTTTCCACAATTGACATGAAGGGGTACAATATTATCTCTAAGTAAATTGTGGCAAGTTATTAATATACATTGTAATCCCTAGAACAACACTAAAAATGATGCAAAGAGGTACAGCTAAAATCAAATAAATATAATAAAAATCTACAGTACATTCAAATAATCCAAGAGAAGGCAGAAAAAGAGGAATATGGGAAAAACAGAGGGGGAAAACAGAAAACAACTAGTGAATAAAGATTTAAATCTGAAATATCAATAATTATGTTACATGTTAATAAACATGGACCACATTTGAATTAAAAGGCAGAATGTCAGAATGGAGAAAAAGAGCAAGACACTATCATGTGCTTTCTAGGAGATATGTATTTTAATATAAAAATAGAGATTGGCTAAAAACAAATGGATGGAGAAGGGCACATAGTATGTAAACAGTAGTACAAGAAGGCTTCTGTGGCTATCTGATATTAAATCAGGTAAAGTAGACTTCAAGTAAGAATGTTACTAAAGGTAAAGAGAAGCATTTCAGAATGAATACAGAATTACTTCATCAGGAAGAGACAGTATTCATAAATGTATATGTGGTATAATAACATAACTTCAAAATAAAGTAAAATTGGGAGAATTAAAGGGAGAAAACATAGCTGGAGATTTTAACAACTTGTTCTCAGCTACAGATAAAGGAGCTAGACAAAAATTAGTAAAGACTTAGAGGATCTAAATAACATTACCGACCAACTTGACTTAACTAATATTTATAGAACACTATATCCAACGAGAGAATACACTTTTTTTTCCAAGTATACATAGTGCCTCCACCAAGATAGGTTTACGCTAGGCCATAAACCATGTGTAAGTAAATTTGACAGAAATAAAACGTAGAATATGTTCTCAGACCACAATGGAATTAACAAGAAGTCAATAACAAGATAGCCAGAAAAATGGAAACTTTGAAAATTAAACAATATACTTTTAAATAACATATGGGTCAAAGAAGAAAGCATAAAGAGAATTAGAAAATATTTTGAACTAAATGATGATAAAAACACAACATATTAAAATTTGTGGGAAGCAAGTGATGCAGCACTTAGAGAAAAAAGTTGTAACTTTAAATGTTTATATTAGAAAATACTGCACACTTGGGGCGGAGCAAGATGGCCAAATAGGAACAGCTCCAGTCTCCAACTCCCAGTGCGAGCGACACAGAAGACCGGTGATTTCTGCATTTTCAACTGAGGTACTGGGTTCATCTCACTAGGGAGTGCCAGACAATCGGTGCTGGTCAGCTGCTGCAGCCGACCAGCGAGAGCTGAAGCAGGGCGAGGCAATCGCCTCACCTGGGAAGCGCAAGGGAAAGGGAATCCCTTTTTCCTAGCCAGGGGAACTGAACACACAACCACCTGGAAAATCAGGTAACTCCCACCCCAATACTGCGCTATAAGCAAATGGGGCACACCAGGAGATTATATCCCACACTGGCCGGGGGGTCCCACGCCCCACCGGAGCCTCCCCTC